TTGCCATGTTCCCACCAATCACATAGCTCCTTTTTCTGCCTTTAAAAGCACACACAACCCACAATTCCCCTATTTGCTCCGACGAAGGGCTAATGCTCGAAACGTCAGCTTTTATCATTGTAACGGTGGCCAATTTACCATTTCAACTTTGTTTATATATTCAAATTATTTCGTTACCCCCACTGACGCAGCGCCAAACAGTTTCTTTAGAAACTATCAGCCCTAATTTCAGAAAAGATTATCATACCACTATAAAGGACTTGCTGTTTACTTAAACTACATGAATTAAAAAGTCAAGTCTTCATGCTTTCCGTCACTTACCACTTTTTGTGAAAAACCCATTGATGTCACTTTCCTTGCAGGTAACATTAAAGTGTTCAAAAGCCACCCGAGGCTGTGGGCCTGTATGTTTTGAAAAATTCTTGTTTAATAGTCAGATTTCCTTTTCAGTTCATCGTGATGATGAAAATATGTGGAATTGTTCCAAGGAGTGATTAATGATTGAAATTTTACAGTGACAATTTAAATGGAAGTTACATAATAAGTATGTTTGTTCTCTCATCTTGATAAACATCATTCAGGAAATTAATACATCCTCATAATTAATTTGAAGAATCATTTATGTACATTAATTATCTCAACCCCAGACACTCACAGAACTTGTCATGGACCTTTCATCTTTGGTATTTTACCTTTCATGGGAAATTAATCATCAGATATGAGAACCTGATAGAAATGTTATTGCCCTGAATTTTTCAACACAAAGCTGGTTGCATTACAATTTACCTTTCTCAATGTCCTCTGTTAATGGTGCAACTGCTGAAGACTTTCGTCGCCGTTTGAACCAGCGAGATTTCTAATCAAGAATAAAGCCATTATTGATTATGATCAGCTCATGATTATTTAACTTCTTGACCCTAAAATATTTTATATTAAAACATAATAATCTAGGCGATCCTTAGGTAAATCAATGGTTACCATTGGCCTAAAGGCACTCTTTTATGTTAATAAATCAAAGTGTAAATAAATTAACACCCTAATGAATTAGATAAACATCAAATAAATTAAAGTTTCTTTTCCAGGACTCAGTAATTGAATGGTTAATACAAAATGCAACTTTCATTTCACTGTTTACTTACAATCTTCTTTTGCTGAAACCCAGGCGATGAAGGGGCCTGAGCTGAAGAAGCAATAGGGGGATCTGCAGAGCTCTCTTGAACAGGCACTGGCATTATGGAGAAGTCAAAAGCTTTAGAATGTGTCTCAGTATTAATTAGTAGTATGTAGATATGTAAAAATTCAAAAAAAATTCCTTGATTACTCCACAGGGTTGCACATCACCTAATATTCACTTATGGCGAGGTTTTTAGCTAGTCCACAGATGCATAAAAATTGCATAATAATCTTCAGCATTGCCCTTTAAATCTCAGAAGTGATTAACATGTAAATTCTCCTCATAATATCCATACATTATCCAGCAAACAGGTAGTGAGAATACTCAAACTTATCAGGTAGAAGTTGTTACCTTAATTGAACACCAAATTCTCACAACTAGTGTAAAAAGAAATGTGTGGCAGCTAGTGGGGTGAATAAACAATCAGATCTTGTGAGATAAAGGGTTAAAATACTTGCAATTAATAACAAAAGGTAACTATCCCATGTAGTTACAGATCAAGAGAATATTCCAACTAGAAATACAAGAAGCCTGCACAGCAGCCCTTAACTAAACTACCTGCAATAGGACATAGTCATTAAAGAGATGCAGTGATTACCTTCTTGACGGGGAGCATCAGGTGCTGGTGATGCCATAAATCTCTCGGAATGAACTGGAGTTCCTCTGGAGCTCGCACTGAAGCTACTTTCAGGCTCAGAGACTATGGAAGGACTCTCGCTTCCATTCACCTTATCAAAGGATGGGGTTAAAATCAGGGAACCATATAAAGTTGTTGTGCTGCCATCACTAAGATCTTTCCTTGACCCTTCAGTGGTGCATGGCACCCTGATTACAACATCGCGTAAACTTGACGCGGCCACTTGGATTATATTTCCTACGTACGTATTTAGTTGAAACTCGTCTATTTTTGTAGACTTGGGAGAAGGGAGAGTAGCACCTGGCACAGTATTCTGAAAAAGGACAAATCATTACAACAACTGGGAAAAACAAAGTACAAATCAACTTCCAATGTGATGTACTAATATGATAATGATTACTTAAAAAGGGGCCTAGGGAAATTTTAAGATCGTTGGTACAAAACGTTCCTACGTTAAAACTTGAGAACCTGGAACTTATTAAGCTCCCAGTTTAAGTAGCTCAATGTGTCGAGTTTAAACTAGGAAAAAAAATGACACGTTTAAAGAAATAGGAGAAAAGTTTATTGGGAGAAGTAAAGTAGAAAATTGATTTTTTTTCGTTACCGCGAAAAGCAACATTGCCAAATGGTAACTGGGTAAAATAATCAAACTATGCTTTTCTCTCAAAAATTAAACGATTGCCCCGTTATTGAGTAAGAAATAGCCGCCATGTTTAAGTGAACGCATGAAGAAAATGAACACGCAGCTGAAGATGGCTTTTCTCTCTCTCGATCACTTAGTAGAGTTCTACTTCATGTTTTTGGACCCAGATGCATTCATGTCATTGCTAGATTCCCCTCCTTTACAACGTCTGCCACACGACTTGCTCGCAACCTTCGCCATGTCCTTCATAAACTTTATTCTCTGCCCCTCCCCTGTAAAGGCAATTTTTTGACCCGAAGCCAGGGCCCATGCCGTTCCTTCTCACTGACTTTCCCTCTCACTCGTTACTGATACGAAGAAATTGTCTGACAACGGACCCCGTTAGCAGCTGTATAACCTGTCTTTTTTACCTAAATCTCAAAAAGTACAGCTGAGAAAGCAAAACAAGAAAACTGGGATTGAGGCCAATAAAACAGACTTACGTCTACTATACGTCTCTTAAGACTGATCTACATGAAAAAGGTAAACTGCGTGTTTAATGCCATAAAAAAAAAAACTTTTTCATGAAATCAATCCAGCCTTTTATGCAGATGTTCTTTCAGCTTTTAATGTAATTAGCCCCATATACAAGATTGCGTGACAACTTGGATTGCATGACGGGAGTCGCGCTTAACAATGACCTAGAACGCGTGGCCCGGAGATTAGACCAAAGTTTTGATCGATAAATTGTATTTACCTGGAATTTAAAACGTTGCTAAAGGAGAGTTCAATTCCCCATTTTGACCGAGTGGGGGATGGGGTCGAGTTCGCCGCGCAAGTTTGTCTGGGATCGTTACTCGGGACACAAACCTTTGTTTACTATGGATTTGTGTCCCGAGTAACAATCCCAGACTAACTTGCGCGGCGAACTAGACTCACTTCCCCACTCGTTTTTGAAATGGGGAATAAACTCACGCCTGACTTACAGTTCTTCTAATAGAGTTTCTGCGACCAGCGGTCTGTTAGTTGGCAGATGCCTCGTTTACGTGTTTGTGAAGTAATCATTGAAGCGGACAGTTCAAGTTTTATAATCTCTCGCTTTTCCTTCTCAATTTTGTCCTCAAAAATTGAAAATTTAAATCGAAAACAAATTGAGATTAATAATTCAATATTCACGAAAGCTCGCTCATTAAATATATTTTCTTCCAACCTATAAACGCGCGTCGAAAAACTACCGTACCAATTAACGAATCGTCAAAAGTAAAAACCTTGTTCAGAAACTCCATCATGAAGTGTTTTCCATAGTACTCTGTTGTCTTGAAAATGTTGTTTTTTTGTGTCTACACTTACGTGATATCCTTTCCACTCGTTACAATCTGAGATTCTTGACGGCTCTGCTCATTAATGAAGCGCGCGCATTTACATTCATTTCTCTGGTAAAAAGATTCACTGTCACGACAAAATTATTCCGAATTGTCACTGTACTTAACCGCGCAAAACACTGAAATATCGAAACCTAAATCGCATTTGTCCTTACCATATGCCATTTTGGACATCAGCAAGTCCACCCCAAGGGCTGCGATTCGGTCGATCTCTAACTGTTGTTGTTCTTGTTGAAAAGGTTCATGTTGTTTTTGCTTTATTCGCGCTAAAAATGCATTCTCAATACCTAAGACTTGCACATTGCGAATTAGCAGACTTTTATAGTTGTCCGTATTTGTCGAAATAAGCGAGAATATGACTTTCCTTGCTCTTGCTTCGGTGGTACCCACCCTTTCGAAATTTTTTTGCCCACAGCTCCCTTCGTTTCCATGCTCCATGTTCGTTTCAAACGGTCTCATTCTTCATTTCAGTTTTGGGAATACTGTCTCTTAAAAAAACTGGGAAACCATTTGCGTGATGCATAGGAATTGCTCATTCAAAAGCAAGAGTAACAGTACAAACACCGTACAAAATTTTGATGTTATTTCTGCTTTATTACTTAAAGCTAACCCTTTCCCCCTATATAGTTATTTATCCTTGGTGTCAGATTTTCTTGCGTTTGCATCTGGTCCGTCATTTCCTGCGCTTTGTCACTTCTCTTATTCTTCCTGCTCAGATGAATTCTTCCTTTTCTTCTCAGTTAAGACAACTAAACAAATTTACGCAGGAGCCCGAAGGCCTGGCACTCGACACATTCCGAATTTTCCAACAATTTATAGCTAAGAAATCATTTCATCTGCCCTAAGTACGAAAAATAAACAAAGAACAGTACTTACGCCGACGGGGGTCATTGCTTCAACTTTTTCCATCTCTCTCTTGCTTTTCTTCCGAATTACTCTTAAACGAGCTGAACTCCGACCAACGACAAGTAAGAGTGACGGAATGTAATTTGCGCACGTCCGGATGACGCAACAGAAGAGATCATTTACTAATTTATCGACTAATTAGTATACGTAACCTCTGCCTCGTTTTCAGGCACCTTTGCGTTGGTTTGTGAAAGCGCGGGACACTACTTGAGTGCGTGGGCTGCTGGGTAGGAGGATTTTGACAGATTTTAACAAAAGTTCGCACATAGAGTGCTCCAGGATCTCAGTCAGTCGAAGTGATTGCAAAAGCGGGTGGCAAGCCCGAGAAACGAGACTGAGAAAGATCAGGAACTTGTCAAGAATTTGCAGATAGGAGTGCGTCCTCCCACAAGTAAACCATTCTTGCACTGCCGAAGGCTTTGACCACCACGGCGCGTTTCCATTGACCAAGAATTCAGCACAGTCTTCTCCAAGATTGGGAGCTTGTCAGGAAATGATTAAAGAAGTACGTCTTCCTGCATCAAACCAAGTCTTGAACTGCTCGAAAGCAAACTGTTTTGTCGTTTATGCTCGATTTGCTTGCGAACATGCGAGTTCTAAGTTCTGCGTCGTAGCTAGCACGATGCCACTTGGCCATAGAATAACTAACATTCCTCATAAAAAATAAGCTTTGCCTTCCGGACCTGAGGGTGCTACACAACTGAGATATGATATTCAAGCTTTCACTCCTGGTAGTGACCAATAATTAAGTTATTTTTTGGCCACAGAGTTACTACACAGTTTGACGGAGAGACGATGAGAAAAACCAAAATTGACTACAGTAGAATATGGCCCTGATATCACACCAGATTCACGATAATAATAAACATAATATTAACATAATAATAAACATAAATGTAAGGCGTCGGTGGTGAAAATCCATTTTTAGATCTTGGTGAGTACGTAGCCTAAAAAACTAGAAAGGCTTCTTCGACGTCTTTCAATTTGGATACGGTTCATATGAAAGAACAGCAACAAAGCTACCATTTATTAAAGAAGGATAACGAACTATGGAGCTGAACAACGAATAATACAGGTATCCAGATCTTCACAAAATTGAAGGAATTCTTTTTAAATTTTATTTTGAAAATCATCATTAAACAAAATTTTAATGCAGGTTTAATTTAAGCGTATTTTACGTTGCTGTTAACAACACATATTCTACAATATTATCTTCAAGGGCATCAGTACTTGACAAATTCCCATAACATACTTTGTTGATCTATCGACGTAATTTGAAAAATTTACAATATCATTTAAAACTACTTTAAAACTTAAGTAACTTTGATCAAAATGTCATCTCTCCTTCAAACAAGAAAGCAGTACAAAGTAACAAAGCCAAAATAGTTCTCTTATAAAATATGGGCTATTTCTCAACTAAACTCGCCTCCCGTCCAATAAGCTACTTCTAAATAAGGAATTACTTCAATTTAATCTATTCTAATTCTTACAAGCCATACCGTATTCCCACAAGGTTAAATTAGTCTTTGTGCAGTTCATGATATTTAATGAGTTCTTGCCTTGAATGACTTATTCACTTAAATACAACATTAAATATGCTCCCATCAGGAGGGAAAATGAGGATAAGATATGCCATAAATCGTGAAAGTCAAAAAAATTCACGACTGCACAGCTCCTGTTAAGATCACGTGATTTTTCAGGAGAAAGGGTCTTGTCTGTTGTAGCCTTGGCGGTAAAAATCCAAACCGCAGTACCCATAAACCCTAGCGTGACTAGAATATAGGAGGCTTGGAAAAAGCGGAAAATGAATGTTTGAAATGTGCAACAACGACGGGTGTTCCGAAAGAACTGAAGCAAAACTTTACCTGTGACAGCAAGCAGACAAGCTGAGATACAGCTGAATAAGAACATGTCTGGGAAATCAAACTTGATCCCATAATACAATGGAAGAGCTATACATACAATAACTAGAATCGCAAAAAACATCACAGCCTTAATAACCTCATCCCGTTTTCTGAGATCACTTTTTCTCGAAACGTTGTAAAATAATTTTATTCCCACCCAAGAAAGAATACTGATGTAATAAAAAACCAAACAGATTACAAATGTGATTTTCATGACCAAACCCATACTGTCAGGGGAATAATAGAACAGAGAGCCAAAGTAGTTGAAAATATACAGTGGAACTAAAAAGAAAAGGAAAAAATTGTTGGCTTGTACAGGCTTTTCAAATCTTTTTCCGACAACGCACTCTTTGTAGCTGATTCCGTTATACAATGACAACACAATCAATCCTGAAATGACAAACATAAAAGCTGTATCGAACTGGAAAGTCAACCGGGTCGGACAAAAGTGATAGAGCATGGAAAAACAGCCCTCAAAAATCAGCCCCCACGCTAAAGCGTACCCTATTGAAAAGGTGAACTTTCTTTTATGCGATTGTGCATGCAACATTATCGCTTCTTCTACACTGTTGGTGTGAAAATAAGGAACAGTCATTTTTGCCATGTGAGCGTTGATGTTGGGGCATTTCAAGATGTGTTTCGGTAACTCGACTTGGCCTGGAGGAAGACGAATGTTTGGCGGTTGGTTCCTACGCGCAAGCTTGTGGCACCAGGCGAATAACTCAGCTTCCATCACCCACACCGACCAGGCCAGGATTAAGCCGTGAATCATGTAAACCAGGTTACTTATCATGAGGTTAAAGGGAATGTCATATCCACTGACTCTATAACAAAAGTCATTGTAATAACATTTGTCCCTGTCGCCTGTCTGTATCATGAGTTGCCAGTCTTCGAAGACATACTGGAATGATCCAACTAATAGAACGAAACCGACAATACAGGTGGTGTAAGAGAACGTTTTGGGTCCTTGGGCGAACCAGTGGTTAAACAGCACTATTTTCATTGCCATAGATAATTCCTTCCAAGTCAAAGGGTTTCTGTCCCTTTTTCTACGTAACAATGGTCGTAATTCATCGCCTTCTTCGTTCTCTTTCTTGCTCCAGCAAGATGAAAACAGGCTCTTAAGATTGTCTTTAATACGGTGACTACCCACCATGGATGCCGAAAAGCTGACTGTGTCGTCAGTTTGTTCATCCTCCGTAGCGAGTATATATGGCTCCCTGAAGCAAAATAACGCCCATAGCGCCACTGCAATACCACCAAAAAACGACAAAAATATTAAGAAATAGAACGGAGTTGCGTAGTCATAATCAAACGAGCTTTTTAGAATCAGTGTCACGTTTTTAGATTTTGTTTCAGATTTGCTCTTTATCGCGATGCCTATGAACCAAGGGAAACCGCTATCATTAAGAGGCGGTGACGATGCTTTTGAGAGAGTGATTTGGCCCTTTTTCGCAAATGACAGCCTCAATGATTTTTTATCGTATTCCAGTTCTTTCATATTCTTCACTACATCCTTGCATGTATGTGACACTTTTAAATAAGCTGAGATATCAGAGCTAGATTCCACAGTTATCTCAAGTTGTTTTTCTGAAATATCCGAGCTAGGTTTGAACTGAAATACTGCTGGTTGAGTGCTTGAAATCCGAAAACTCTTTGGTTGGTCGAGATCTATAGACGAGACATTTTTAGAGATTTCCACCGTGTATCTTAAGCCTGGAGTTCCAGTAAGTAACACTGAATATTTCTGGCCGGAAGACTTTGGACATGAAATTGACGTGCTCCAAACATGCGACGCAGCAGTGTCAAGATGGCCAGAAGCGGATAATTCGTCTTCACCGTACACTGTCATGTGAAGAGTCCCTGTCAAGTTTAAAAGATGGGAAGTTAGTTCTTAAAATGTTAAAAATAAAAAAGTAATCGAAATTTGATCGAAATTTGATCGAAATTTGATGTTTGTTATTATCATGTTTGTTATTTTTGATAAAACAAGCACTAAGCAGTTTGATTAGGTTCCATAGGTCCAGATTCATTTTGTTTGTTGGATGTAACCACCAGAGGACTGTGTTTGTATTCAAGTAGGGATTGTATGTTCTCTTTTCTCCAGCACGCTTGACATTGGAAGTCAAAGGAATAATACAGCCTGTTTTTCTTAACTGAAGAGAGAGAAGAGCTTCCATATGCAGGTTACAATAATGGCCACTGAAACTTCTGGAACTTAAGAGGGGCCTCAATAACTAACTGTCTTGCTATTTCAATCCAAAATATCTCTCAAGAAAACTGCACATCACTTTATCAGCTGATCAGTAACACACATCAGAACCTAGCTCAAAATCTGTGAGGATTCAAACCTTTCCCCTTAAAAATTTGCCAGCAGATCCTCTACTAGCTGGGTAAGAAAAGAAATTTGGGTTGACCTTTGTTTTATTCAACATTGATATCAAATGCTCCTAAGCAGAGTAAATATTCTGGGTCAACTAACATGAGGATTCAAACCTTGGTATCAAATGCTCTACCATGCCAGCTGAGCTGAGAACAAAATGTGGGTCAACCTTTCTAAGACATTACATTGAAATGCAGGCAGTTTTCAAATAAATTGCTGGATATAAACTGCTTTGTAAGGATTCAAACCTCAGATCTACTGATTTTGGTATCAGACATCCGACCAGCTAAACTATAGAGACCTCTCACAGTTATTGTTTCTATCTCTTTCTAACCATTATATTTTATTTGCCTTTTGAGTGTGTGATCAGCAAGTGATATAGATGCAGTTTTTGTTTAAATGGATGGATCAAATCAAGTTGGTATTCAAGTCAGCAATCAAATGGACCAATCAGCAGGGCTTTATGTATAATTGTTTAGGTAAGTATTAAATCAGAGACATTTCTAATTTCCAACTTCACACTTCCAATTTCAAATTTTGAACATTCGATTTAAGAGTTCAGAGTTTTATTTCCAACAATTTACATATAATTGTCTTACATCCGGCTTCAGACTCTAAATTTATGACTTTTCACTTCTGTGCCACCTTTGTTTTAATCTCTGACTGTAAACTTTCAAAATCCTACATCAACTAATCAATTGTTAAAAGCAGACCTTCAACTTAATACACAATCTTCCCTTTTTCCAATTTTGGACTTTTAAGTATCATTTTCAATGTCCATTAACTAAGGAGGTCCAACTTTCTTTTTTAATATAAAATCAAACATGAGGGTATTTTTAACATGGGATATGTATATATATTATAATAACTTTACATTAGCATATCAAGTCATATGTCACTCAGATGAATCAGACCACCCCAGGTATGTATATCTAGGCTCTTATACATTGTACCAATAAAAGTAGCAAATTACGCCACTGGTATTGCTTAATTTGCTTCCAGATTATGTTTATTTAACATATCCTCATTTTTGAAAATTCCACTACTCTTTCTTTAAGTATGCTTTTCAAAAAAGAAACAAAAAAAGTCCAAATTATAGATCTATTGTTAAGGAATCACGACATCTTGATCTTGAGTAACATTTTCTCTGATAAAACACAGCTAACTACAGCACTTAATTCCAGACTAGAAGGGGTGACTTAATTTGTCAAAATGTACAATATTAATATAAAAGTTTAATTGTCTGTGTGCCCAGTCCTCTAGACAAAAAATGACACAGTGCTGCAGTAACCCTGTTCCCCCTAAAACTCCAAGACATTGCAAAATTGAAAATAGAGAGAAGCATGGACTGAAATTGAAAATAATCAATGTTAGAGACTATGCAAGTCATTCCTCTGTTAATTTGTTCCTTTGAAAAAACAACTTAAAACATGCCGATTATGCTTGCAATGCTACTTGTTTTGAATGGTCACTTAAAGTGGTTGTCAAACCACTTGCATAAAACTTAGAACTCTCAAGTAAAATTTATTCTCTGTTTATTTACTAGAATTAATGTTGGTAGTTTGAGCTCAGCAAATAGCAGATTATCTTTCTTCTTTAGACTGTTTGGAAAAATAATTGTGCAAAAATCATGCAATTCATTGGATGGTCAACCTTTATTTAGCGGTCACCCCAACATTCCCCGTGGATGACCGCTTATACAGGTTCGACTGTATGCTAAAAATTATAGCTGAGCATGGACTGGTACAAGAGTCATGCATTCCTTATGCGACTTGCTCCCTCGCTCAAATCTACTTTTCTTTTTGTCCCATAAACCCCAGAAAGGGAGCCTTTTTACCAGAGAGTAAGAAACATTAGTTCCTGCCCATTTATAGCATTTTCCTAGGCAGAAACGGAACTGTTTTGAGGAGCTGAGGGCCTGTTTACATGGAAATAGGGTGACCCTCTTAGAAGGGTCACCCTTCTAGAAGGGGCAAAAGATAGCCCCCCTTTACATGCAAAGTCTTGTCCCTAGGGCTATCGTGATTATTGAATTTGGCACCGAGGGAGACAACTGCGCGGTCGCCAAGTACAAAACAACCAAAATGGCAGACAAGCAAAGTATTTTGGTGGTAAATTCAATTTTCCTTGTGCTTGCCTCTTTGGCTGGGGTTTTTCAGTGCTGTGGGTTCTTGCTGTCGTATCTCCTAATAGAAAAATGCCAACAACAGCGAATGGCGCAACAGGTAGCCGCCTCGTACAATGTTGCAATGTGACGAATGAGGCATGTACAAAGGAGACCCATTTGTCGCCAAGGGAGATTTTGGCAGAATCCTGGTCGCACAGAGCAGTGGTGAAGAACGCTTTTCATTTTCCCTGTGACTTCTTTGATTTTTCACCTGGCAAGCCCTCTTCCATATCTTTCCAAGTCGAGTGGCTTTCCACGGTACTCTTGTTGACAACTGGTTCATGATCATCTATGTCTTTTTTTGAGATGTCGACACCGTTGTCCTCCGACTGTTTCAAACTCTGTTCAGATGATTTGGCCACCACAGAACAGCGAAAATATTCCCCGGGCTTATATGCGCGCGAAGCCATGACAGAGTTTCATGGCAATCTGACAATAAACCGAACCCACAAAAGTTGACCCTTGTAGGAGGGTGACCCTACCTCAAGTATTTACATGGCAAAAAGTTGGCCCTCGCAGGAAGGTTACCCTACCAAGCAGATAGGGTGACCTTACCCCTAGGGTGACCCTACTGCTCATGTAAACCAAACTGGAAACTACAATAGGCAAGGGTTACCCTTTTAAGAGGGTGCCCCTTCTAGAAAGGTCACCCTATCTCCATGTAAACAGGCCCTAAGTTATGATTGATCATGAATCGGTCCCCTCCACTAACTATGGTCTCATCTTTATCGCTGACTTGCACGCTTAAGCTTCAAAATTCAGACAAAAGCCAGAAGAAATATCTCAAAAAATGGGATGACAAGAGAGGGATAATCTAAGTTTGGTAGTAAATGTAGTATCTATAGCAACAAATAGTTCCACGGTGTCGACGAAATAAGAAGGTGACGTGTACATAGAAGTCAGTAGGGTATGCGATCAATTTATGTCACGCAATCATTAAATTATGCTAACGATCGAAAAAGAAAGTTTTCCGGGCGCGAGTTCTGATCCCTCTCTATTTTCACGGTACCAGTTTGGAAACTAAATCGATCCTAGCATAACACTGCACTGTACATTTAACACACTGCAACCATAGTGATCAGATTCGGCAGAGTGATACATAACTAATTTACATCACATTCCCACGTTGCGACTTTCAATTCGGTTCATTGTTGAATGATTTCAAATTTGCACCATCTTATTGCACTCAATTTAAAACAATCCACGAAAAGAAACCCTTGATCCTTTGAGAGAATCTACAAAGTTTATTCAATCATGACTCGACACAAAGAACAAACGCTTACTGGAACAAAACGGGCCTGACGACGACTATCGCTGCCAGCACAGCAGAATTCGCCTGTCATATGACCACACGTAATCACATTTAGAAACAGAAAAGATTACTTATTCCATATATATTTAGCCATAAACAGTCTCTCATCTTACCATTTTTCTCTCCAGAGGTCTTTGCTTTCACGTAAAGAAAACTATCTTTATCCTCCGTTGTTACAACACATGAGTGAGACAGTGTTCTCGTTGACGGAAGTGTGTGGGAGAACATCACCGAATTGGAAGTGCTAAAAGAGGACAGATTTTGAAGAGCTACTGCTTTAGTTTTCTCGCCATCAAAATTACATTCATGAACGAGCCCTGTAGCTGATACAGCACAAATTAAACAGAACAATACAGCAAATGGAGAACGCAGCATTGTGCATCGGCTATCGAAACAACCGATAAGAGCTACTGACGCGGAAAAAATGAAACCGGAAATGAAAGACACGTGACTCTTGAGAGACCAATATAAAGAGTTTAGTAAATGGTTTGAACCCGGGGGTTACATGTGACTAGTCACTGCCACCGACAACAGTCCTTCTCAGGACTACACTCACCCGGACGATCATACTACACCTTCACATAAAGAGTTTAGACAAAAAATTTCTCAGAAGCCTGCCTGTTTTCGAAGGAAGGAATATAGATCCTTCCTTGTTTACTGACCTATAAACAACAACTTCTGTTTTGTTTATCATATTATTTGTTTATAACATTCCGTTTGTTCTCACAAAATAAAGCTGGGAAGATTTATTAATAACATAGGGCATTTTCAATTATTTCACTCGCGCTTGTTGGACATGAGATGACCATGGCTATCTATCATCTCAACCATCCCCTCCCCACCCCCCTCCCACATCACCTTTAGATAGCCATTACATCATCATTCACTTGCTTTAACTCCTTCGATTCTGACATCGTAATTATTTCATAACCCTTGGAAGTGTGCTCGACGGACACAAAATGGAGTTTTTTAGTGAGGAATCCTGTAAAGCTTTTCCCTAGCAAACGAGCACAAGTCAAGTTTATGAGAAACTAAACCTGTTTTATTGAGAAACAGGAAAAACAGAAAAAAATTCCCCGGGGCTTTTCAGGGCTGCACACTATAAATATGTCTCTCAGAAGTCTGGAGAAGTTATTCCTAGAAGCGAAAATTCCGTTTATCGCTGATAGCACTGGATTAACAAAATATTTTTATAGTTATCACAAAAATTGCAGTTGAACGCGAGCCAACCACCTCGAAATATTTTCTGATCAAGACCAACGCTGAGATTGTTATTGTTTCCTTCATGTCTTTTTACTCGTACCATGATGTGTTCTAAAAATATGTCTGCTTTGCGTTCAGTGGTTCATGGTGAGAGACTCGATCCAGTATCAAAACTAAAGTGATAGAGTTTGACTCTTGATGCCGCTACATGTATTGAAGTAAAATACCTTGGCACCTTTTTGGCGCTATTTGAATAAAACGATAAAGTGCTTATCTTATTGACAAAAGTCTGCTATCGATCACAAAATAACGTCGTGATTCTTTTACAAAACACCAGGGGCGCGGTTGAAGTTGCTTCCGGTGAGAATTTGATCGAAGTAGCATATCCCTTTCATAATGAGCCGGTGACACTTCGCCGCCGAAGATATAGTTTCTTCGAGCGTCTAAAAATAATTGAACACAGCTTGTCTCGTTTGAAACCTTACTACTACATGAGTGATGGGTGCGTTTGTAAACCTTCGAGTCCTACTGTATCTTTTGGTGTCCTTTGTTTTTCATCCAACCTCTTCTGAGACATTCACAAGCGCCCGCACTTCGTTTCTTCAACTGAAAAGATGGAATATGTCCGACGCACGGTGTCTTCGATTTCGCTTCAAAACGTTTCTCCCAGATGCGCTTCTGTTGTACATGGATGATGAAGGAAATACGAATTTCTTACGACTTGAACTGATTCAAGGAAATCTACGACTTACATGCAGCTACGGATCTCGATTCGGGCCCATGGCAGACGAAACTCGCGGCAAAAACCTAAACGATCTAGTCTGGCATAGAGTGTTGGTGGAAAGGAATAAGGACAACACTACAATTTACTTAGACGATCTTCCGAAATTGGCCGTAGAGAGCCGGGAGAAGAAAGGATTAATCGTGAAAAGCCCGATGTATTTCGGGGGTTTTCCACCCAACCTCGGAGCGAATAGAGTCACAGAACCTTCGGTTCTTCTTCTGAACAGATTCATTGGATGTATAATGGATAGCGAGTTTCTACGATCCTCGTCTGACCAAGGAAACAAGATAATCAAAACCATCGTGGAAAATTCAGATGAAGTAATCCCAGGCTGTATTGATGAGTGTGAAAAAAATAACACATGCATCAATAATGGGACATGTCTTAACAGATTCATTACAACTGCATGCGACTGCACCACGACTGGCTACAGAGGAGGCTTTTGTGAACGAGGTAAGCAAGGCCCTTTTTGTTAGAAAAGGAAACGTTTTCGAAAGCAACCCTCAAACTTTAAGCGCCGCTCTCCTTGCTAATTTTTATACTGATGATATAATAGTATCTGTGATATGCTTCACCTTGAAGGGCAAATTTTTACTTTTATTTTTTCCTTCTCGAGTGTGTCATGTCCCACTAAGAGCTGCATGCGAAAACATGTTGACGTTCCTTGAGTGAGGTTATCTCCGGAAGGAAGCTCCACTAAAAACAACATCACAAAACTATTGAATCTTTTTGCCTAACCCTTCTCGTCATAAACTGAAAGTACGGAACGTAATAGCCCAAGCATCACATAGATAATTTATAAACAATTAATCATGCGAAACGCTGAATATTTACCATGACAGAGTCAGCGATGATGGAATATTTGTCAGGAAAGCTTAGGGTGGCCGGTAATAGGGTCAAATACTAATCCCAAGTATCATATCTCTCCAGCGTTCTGTTACAAAAGCAACAAATTGCGAATTTTTTTGTCGATCATTATTTTCAAGTCACTATGTTCCTACTTCTGCGGCAATCATCATGCAGATCAGATTTAAGAAATGAGATCAACGAAAGCCCATGATATGATGGAAGTCTTATTTGGCAGTAGCTAAAATTGTTTTTCTCGCACACTCAGGTTACGTCACTCGACCTAATGTCTAGACTAAAGAAAATTGCTTGACTATCTGTGTTTTCAATTCTGCAGAGCAAGCGTTTTTTTCTTTTTCTTTTTTTAATAATCACGACCCTTTTTCGGGACATTTCAGACGGGCTTGTCGCGAACATCGCTCGCGCTCCGCGTGTTCAGTTGTCAAGACAACGCGTTTATTGCACTTAGGTGTGTAGTTTGAGAAACGTTTGTACCACGATAAAGTGTGTATTGATTGTTCGAAGTAATGTGTTTCCCCTAACACCGTGTTCAGGTATCCAAGCTCTTGTTTGTCGATGCGTGTAAAAGAAAAAGCAGTGGGAAGCTTTTATCCATTTCAGAAGTCTCAGGCTGTTTTTCTGATCTTCATCAGTATAACAGAACCCGTGATAAGTTTCATAAAGCAAAGAGATTAACCACAGGTAGCCCAAGCTCACTACTAGAAAAGCGGACGTGACTCTTACAGTTGCGCAACGTTTTACAGTTATAAAGGTTTGTATGGGATGTTTATCGGTTTGCCTTAAAAGAGAGAGAAATTTTCTTGTTTTGAAATAAAATAGACTTACCTTATTGCCTTGTTGTTTTCTTTGTTGTTTACCGGCGTCTCAGGCCATTTTGAAGCGTTTTCGGCGAGTTAGCGCTATTTTGGTGTTGGCAGTTGAACACCAAAATAGCGCTAATTCGCCGAAAACGCTTCAAATGGCCTGAGACGCTGGTAATCAACAAAGAAAACAACAAGGCAATAAGGTAAGTCCATTTTATTTCAAACCAAGATATTTTTTCTTTTTTTTTTAAGGCAAACCGATAACATCCCATACAAACCTCTATAAATATAAAACGTTAGGCAACACTTTAAGAGTCACGTCCGCTTTTCCAGTGGTGAGCTTGGGCTGCCTGTGGATTAACGAGATGAATAAATGCACAAGCACCAGCACATACTACTGTGAGATGCCTAGTTTCTCTACTTCCTTTAGTCACACGATATGAAATATTCAGATGCCAATATGACGCCCGCTCACAGAGATACAAGAGAGTCGATAGAAGAAGAGTATCTCTCCTAAATTTCTCTGAAGCAGAATTATGTTGCGTGACCCCAGGGAGAACAATGAATGATTATTGTCACTAAAATGTTCCTATTACATAAATTTTCAGCACTTCCGGTCATTGGCCTCAGTCGATCAGATTACCTAGTTTTCAACCGTTCCAATAAAGCTGTCTCTTCAAAGCACGATCGAATCACGCTGAGATTCAAGACAGCCAATCAGAATGGAACACTCTTAGAAAGCGGGCGCTGGGTGAGAGATTATTTGGTGGTCGCACTGAGCGATGGTTACATTCTGATACGATGGAATCTTGGATCAGGTGAAATGAACCTGCATGCGCGTGACAAAATGTACAGTGACAATAACTGGCACTCGGTTGATATACGAAGAAATCGAGGCCGAATTAGAGTAACAATCGACGGCGTTTTTCACGTTTCTCGGAGTTTTCCTGGAAATTACCAATCATTTGATTTGGAAGAGGGCGAGGGAGATGTGTATTTCGGAGGAATGGTCACCAATGGCTTCCCAACGCATCGTCGTCCATCTAGCTTTCCCTTTGAGGGGTGCCTCCAAGAAATCAATTTCAATGGTTTGGATATCATCCAAGGTTTTCTCGACAAGAAAGACGCTTTTATCAGCCGAGGAAGCCCTAAATTTACTTGTGACATCCCAAAGGGACTGATTCCAACTACTGCAGCAATAACGCCACTCGTTACCATGGATAGAACAACATCTGCAAATAAAGTTCAACGCCCAACGTCATATACAACCCCGCGTAAAATGACCACGAACATTGTCACTGACAAAAGTCAACGTCTCTCGACGTCAAAAAACAAATCCAAAAGTTCAGAATTACCCTGCACGGATGATGAAGACGATTGTGACCCTGACGATTCTGGTTCGGGAGGGAACGAAATCAGCAGCGAAGAGAGCGGCTATTCCGGAGATAATTATATCAGTCCCGGGTCAGAGTCTAGCACAAAAGGTAAACATATTATCTCAGGTACAGGAGTCAATACAAGCAAAAATAAGTCGATTAAAAGCAAAGCAACCGGCGTGGAAAGTAAGGGCGAGTCGGACAATTCTCTAACACCTTGCCCAGGGGATGACGAAGACGCCTGTGAAAATTCAGATGAGTCTGGGCAGGGTTCAGCTGAGCAAGGTTCCGCAGCCGGAAGCACAAACGCCCCTAGTCCCAGGACCTTCCCTAATGGCAACGGCGAAGTTGATGTTGAAGTGAAGGAAAGAGCCCTCGTAAAGGAAAATGGCAGCAAAAAATGGACGCTCATAGCGGGGATAATTGTGGTAGGAACACTTCTTATAACATTTTGCATCTTCGCAATTTGGTGGCTTTGGAAAAATAAGAAAAACCCCGAGTGGACAGGGGTGTACCAGGTCAATGGCAGCCGAGAAAGATGTTTAGCGGCTGAAGGAACAGACGTGTAATGCTCAAACTGATCAACTGAAGTTCATGGAACATCCTTGGACTAATCAGAAAGCAGAGTCGAGTTTACACCTCAGCTGTTGCCTGAACGTCACGAAACGCGTTTTCGTAAGAAGACCGAACACCCTGCTTGTTTGGTCAAGAAACCCCTCCTGAGCGAAAAATGTAGCGTGACTTTCAATAGACGGTTTCAAGAGAAAAAAAAATATCTGACTCGGTAAATTAAACATTTGGAGTATCATCTGATAGCATAGTCTCTTCTGTAGAGGAAGAAGGAAAATTTGAGCAACTTAGAAATCCCAACCAAATAACCTTTGTTTTCATAGTACTCTAGCAAAGCTAATCTAGCCTGATGTTGTGTCCACCAAGAAAACATAGCTCTAAATTTGAAAAAAAAAAATACATTTATTTGTTGGGGGCTTTTGCTGCGGCCCAATCAAAAGAAACTTCTTTATATGAATAATTTCAGACTCTGTAGGTGTATGGGTATGGAATTTTTAGATAATTAAGAATCACAGTGGGCATAGTGACTAAGATGAAAAATACGTCGCAAGAAAAAACTATGTTAAAAAGAAGGGCTATTTTGATACCGACTTTGAGAGTTGCTTGAGACTCTCAAATACACACATATACAGAAAAAATAGTTTATGAGAAAATTAGTAAATGACCTGAGATATGATGGTAAAAATACTGATGTTAAGTTTTTCTACTTTCACGATCCAAACAGTTCTCCGAATGGTCTGATACGTATTTTTTTGTTATGGTTAGCCTCTGAGGTTTGGTGTTAAATGAAACAATATCTCTAATAAGAAGGCTTATTATCCAACTACACCTAGACGAGTACAAATATCACGCGGTATTTGTACTCGTCTATTGTAGTACCGGTTAAACAGGTTTTCTCGCATCGCGCAAGCGAAGAATTGGATTGTAGTTACGAAAAAAAAAACAAATGGCGGACAATTTGAATTATATGTCCGACGACGAAGAGTCAGAATGGCTGGCAAATATAGATCCAAATTCATTAGATGAATCAAACGAAGAAAAACAGCTTGACGACCAGAAAATTTCTTCATTTAATGAAGAAAATAGAAACAGCAGCACAACAACGCGCCAATTCCGTTCCGCTTCGCATACTTCTGTCACGCACTCCTCGTAAATAAACATTCGCGAAATTCGCCCGCACTGAAATAACAGTTTGGCGTGTTGGATAATAAATAAGTTATTAGACGTTTTGTTGTGTAGTATCGCTGAGTATATTTACTCGTTATTTGTATTTTGACTCGCCCTACGGGCTCGTCAAAATACGGCACAAGTCGTAAAAATGCTCAGCGATACTACACAACAAAACGTCTACTAAGATATACATGTTTCTTCTTATCACCATTACGCTCAAAAATGTAGTGAAATTGTGGAGTAATTTCATTTTGGTTACTGACGGGAGTGAAACGAATAAAAGAATCGCAAAAAATAGATTCAACTTAGAATAGTGGAAGGTCTTTTTCAATCCAGACCTTGTAATTTTGGACCATTACTTCTCTTTATAATCAAATTTTATCTACAATCAAAATACATGTTAGAGAAGTTTCTATTATGTGTGTATTATTCAACATAGGCAGAGAATAGAGTGGTCGAGATATGTTTTTTTTTCCGATGTGAAGCGGGGTAACACAACTGCGCACGGATGCGCCTATGTAATTTCTCGAGCTATGTTAGACAGTGCTACTGATTCAAGTTCAGGTTTTTTTTCGCTGATATATCTTCTTCACTTTTGCAAAGAGCTTTCATTAAGAATAACGTCCTTTCTTTGTTTGAAAGGAAGCTAGAGCCTTCCACAACATTTAGATCGAGTCGCTGCTCAAAGTTTGACAATTCAAAATGCACGGAACACAGTAGTGATATTTTCGATGGCTGCCACTTTGCCCGATGTCTTCGCACGAAGCGAACCCATTTCTCGCGAGTTAAATCGTCACGAGGAAACATATGTATCGATACGCCCTCTCTTCTGAAGTTATTAGTGCAACTTACATTTCCGGGCCCACCAGCAACACAGTACTTGCCCAAAAACGTTTTTGGGGGCTTCTTGACACTTTCGCCACACTCCATGCTCACTTGGGGTTTACTCGGAATTCTGAGATGTATTCAACCAGTGACGTCACAACATTGTTTTGGCTGCGCCAAGATGGCCGCCAATTTTGGGCTCGACTAGCGGAGTTTAAAAGGCTAGAAGAAAGCTTTCCGCGCTCCGTTGGACCAAAAAAGACTCACAGCGCTTGTAAGTAAGGTTCAAACTTTATTATCATGCAAAAATCTCACATACGAAAATTTCGTTTCAGTGGCATTTTAAAGCCTTTATTCTTTGTTTTCAACCACGTGACAAACATTTGCTACGTCATACGCGGCCGCCATGTTGGGGGATAACTAAGCTTTCAAAATGGCTTCTTCCGAAGGCGTGCCCGAAGTGAACCTTCAGTATTCGGATTACTTTGCGGGTGTAGAGGGTCCTACGAAGTCAAGGTACCACGAAAAAATAACTGTTTAAGGGTTCGACCGATATGCGTTGAGAAAAAGTGATTTCTCCGAAAACATCGAGCTCCTTCTGAACGTTCAATATCCAGATATTGTGAACTACTTACAAAAACCAAAATGAAGTTGTTGTGTTCGCCAGAGTTAGTCACGGTAGTGTATTTTTTTTCTGATGATCTCGCAGAGAAGCAAACAGAGCAAAATAAAGGACTCATTTTTTATCGACCTCGGCTAACAGCTCTTGTTTTACTAGGTAATTTGGTTACTTCAACTAAGTTGAAATTGTAAATTGGCCACCGTTAAGTGTTAAAAAGCTGACGTTTCGAGCGTTAGCCCTTTGTCAGAGCGATCTAGTCGATCTTGACACGACAGCTTCAAGTTCAGAAGACATATCACTCATTGTACTCACATTAGCAAGTGATATGGCATATTTCAAGGATTTAAATTTTGGATTTAGAATTAAGACTTTTTGTGTACTCTCACTTGGTGAATCGCTCACAGAGAGCCCAGGACATCCCACTTTGAACATGGTTTCTGGCAGAAAAATATGGAACTGTAATTGCTTCCCATTGCTATTGCATAGTAGGGTTGTGTGAAGGGTGGTCTCATGTTGGGGCAGAGCTTTTTGCTGTGGAGGCTGGTGTTAGAATTAGAGATTCTACCACATGCACACAGGAAAAGAACAAATGGCTTCTCTCTAGTCATATGAAAGAAATCCCCATTACCTATAATTGAGATGGATTTTACCTCTGCCTGAAGGAAGCATGAATTGATGGTGGAGAAACACTGGTTAGTCCTATGGCTACTAGATCTAACCCTGGGATCTGAACAACCAGGACACCTGCCCCAACCCCAGAAGAGCAGAAAACTATTTTTAGAGTATTTCTGGCTGTACAGTAAATTCAGCAGTCTTGTCCCTTGTCGCACCTTTAAATAAGCAGCATACTTGTAAAGAAATTGGTAATGTACCCAAGCCCTTGCCCAAGAGCGTTTTTTTTAGAGAAGAGTGTTTGCATTTAGATTACCAGTACATAGAGTTGTTGCAGCAATGTCAACAAATATCGCTTGAGATTACACCTTATGAGTGTGGAGCAATAGAGGCTTCATCTAGAAAGCAGTCACAATATAAAGTTTGGTACTAAATGGTAGGTTGGCAGGTCGTATTACTGCTTCCAATCTAAAAAATGCTTGCAAAACAAATACAGCTAAGCCTGCTAAGAGTCTTGTTAAGTCCATATGCTACCCTGAAGCCCATAAGTTTTCAACTGCGGCCACGAGGTGGGGTTGTGAAAACGAGGGTAGGGCTCACAAAGCTTACCAGTCTGACAATTTCTGACCATGAGTCTTTGACAATTTCTGACAGTGGTCTCAATATTGATCTAAGGTGACCATACTTGGGAGCTTCTCCTGATGCGATTAACTGCAAATGCTGTGGGATGGGTGTGTGTGAATAAAATGTCCATATGCACACAAGGATTCCACAATCGCTGAGGCTGCTGGCCAAACCAACTTTTGTTTAAAGAAAGAAGAGTTTGGTAAAGTTCATCTTGACAAAAGTCATGCCTACTACCGAGTTCAGGCCCAGATCCCTATCTGTGAGGTTTAATATTGTGATTTTGTGGTGTGAACAACAATAGATCTCTTTGTGCAGAAATTCTTCCTGACCAAGAGTTTTGGGAAAATGAACGCTCTGTTTCCTCTGATTTCTTAAGCAAGTGCCTTTTGACTGAAATTGTAGGGAAGTAATATACATGCCCAGGGTGTGAAGCTCTAACCATTCCATCTTTATCAACATCATCTGGTGATGAAGAATAGGAAGGGCTGTAGTGCTATTGTCAACAAGATTTTGAGGGCAGCACATTAATTGGCTGTGACAATGATTTGTGCAAAATAAAATGGTATCATTTGTCATGTTTGAAGTTGAAAGAAGAGCCTTTAAGAAACTAGATCTGTCCAACTTTTTATAGAAAAAATTAACTGAGCAATCATGATTGAAATGTCAAGGTTATTCAATTGTACCACAACCACCAAAATATTACTTTGAGGGTGCTCCTTTCTTTGTCAAAATGCTAACTGAACTTTATGGTTGTTTGTCGTATAGGTATCTATTAACGACTAGCATCTGTGACACAAACTAAACAAATGTTGCTTGTCAATGGTGTACCTTAAAGCTGTGTTTTGTAAACTTGAGAATTACTGAAGTTCTTTAATGACAGATTGTGGCTAGCCTTAACTACAGCCTTTATATGAAAAATTGTACATGAATTACCTGGAATCAAACTGGTTGTAAGTTCACCTCGATCAAATGGTACAATGCATGGACTCTGATAAATTGGTGAGTGCATAGCACACTATGGCAGCTTTGTCAATAGGAGGCAGAGACTCACCTGGTTTTGCCTTTACCAACGAAACAATACCGTCTTCCGCAAAGTATGTGCGTGGTTATACCCCAGTTTGTGTTGTTATTATCACTATTTAGAAAACACAGCATCAATCCCACAATTACCAGTAATTAGCTGAATCTCAAAGTAAACTATATGCGTATCCGCCAAGTTTGGAAAATTTTTATTACAAAAGAAACATACAGCCTTGGAAGCTTAAACAATAATCATTTTTCAATTGCTTGCTTGTTCATACCTGTAACACAACCAAATTCAAAACAACCAAAGACAACACAGAGCAGAGTTGTGGCATGATAAGAGGGGAAACTAAAACAGTACTGTAAAAACGATCATACCGGCTTCCGCAAAGCACGTGGGCGGTGTAGTATCCTACAAAACAAATTTACCGTTCACACAAAATAAAGGTATTACAATCCAAACTACAACACAACTCTTAAAATAGTCTACATTGGCATACCTAGTTACAAGTATTGACAGCTATTTAGAATGCATGACATTGACAAGTATATGCGTAACACCTTCAACTTACACTTCAAACAGCTATGTTACAGGGATTGTAACGCGTGGTTATCCCCCAACATGGCTGACCCCGGTTTTTTAATTTATGCCGACGTCACGTGCAAACAAAGAATACAGGCTTTTCTTGGAAGTCTGAACTACAAACCTAAAACCTTAATTAATGCCTTTCTTTTTACTCCAAGGTTGTTTGGGAAGGACCTACACTGACAGTATCCCAAGTTTTTTTCACGGTTATCAGTATTTATCACTATTCCATCATGATCAGGAAAAGGTCACATGCAGCTTTCCCTACCCTCCTTCCCCGAGTCTGAACTATGTACACCTTTTCTGAGACTATAATAACTGCGATGACACGCTAATTACATTAATGTGGTATATAGTTAAAACTAACTCCTATGACACAAACTGAAAACTCATATTAAAACCATAGACTAAAATAAGTAAGCGTGAAAATACCCAACAATAAAATACAGTAAATAAAACATAATAAAACATTTGACCGTTTGGATAGCAAATTCCAAAAAGAGAAGTCAACTAGGTAACAAAAATATCAAATTTCTGAGTTGTTACCAATACGTAAAATTTAATTTCAACGGAGACTTGTAATAGCTAGTTCTTCCATGTTGAGTTTAGATATTAAAATTCCGAGCTTGATGACATTCCAGTATTTACAGGCTTACATTGAACCTATAAGTTGATATGAATTGCTACCCAACGAGAGTATCCAGAGGCACAACAGCAATACAAACCGATGTTTTTCGCTATATACTCCCCAAAACTCTGTACGAATACGGTCTTGAAAGAAACAAGTTAATGCGCGTTCTTTCAGATAGCGATTGGTTGTCCTATACGAGCTTTTTCGAAACCAAACGGATTCTTTACCATCTTGTACGATGAAAAAATCCAAATTTCATTTCTTGCTTTTTGAACAGTTGGTAGGCAAAGGGATAAAATTTTCGGTTCCTTCTTCATGAAAAGAGTTTTGTTCACAGTTTGGATTCCAGTTCCTGTTTTTGAGTAGTACATGTTTAACCGCTCTTGTGACTAGTAAACATGACAAAGTATGCTGTCATGAGAAGAGCGTGGGACGATAAAATGTGCCAGAGGTCATGGTGGTCAAAAAACCCCTCTACGATGCAATCTTGATTATAATCTCTTGATTTTTCAGGAGTAAGCGTTTTATCCGTTGTCGGGCTTTTAACAAAATAAAAAACAGCTAGCACCCACAAAACAACCATAATCAAGCCATACCCAAATTGACAAATACGGTGCCACCATTTTTTTGCCCATGTGATATCTTTCCGGTTGCACAAAGCATTGAAGAAAATGGCAATGATACCTTCTCCAATACAGCTAAACAAGAAAACTTCAGGAATATTGTTTCGAAAATACCCAAATAGAATGGCTGGTGCAACAAAACCTAGGAAAAATCCGAAACACTTAATTATGTTGATCGAACTGTTACGGTCTGGAAACAATTTCCAACCCGTCCAGATGGTAATAAAAATCCACCAGATTACAACAAAAACATAAAAAGCCGAAGTGTTAACTAGCCCAGTTTCTGAATGACTCAGTGTGCCAAAATAGTTGAAAATATACAGTGGCACTAGGAAATAAAGGAAGAAATTGGCTGCGTCAACATATCCCCTTTTTCCTACATTCTGTTTCATTTCGATTCCGTTGTACAACAAAACAATGATCAGTCCTGCAATGACAAACATAAACCCAGTATCAAACTGAAACGTTAGCTTACTAGGACAGAGATGATAAACAAGGGAAAAACAACCTTCAAAAAATATAGCCCAGGCAAAGGCATAACCCATGGAAAATGCATGCTTTGGTGGTAGAATATTATTTCCGTATACAGAAAATAGCTTTCTCTCCATAATCATCAAAGAAAGAGCCAGAATAAGGCCATGAATCATATATGCTAAGTTACTGATCATTAAATTGAATGGAATGTCAAAATTACTGACTCTGTAACAAAAGTCATTATAATAACAAGTGTCCCTGTCTCCTTCTTCTATCATTAGACGCCAGTTGGCGAAAACATATTGGCCTGCGCCAATCATTAACACAAAGCCTACAATAACAGTTATATATGAATATGTTTTGGGACCACGTTCAAACCAGTACCACATAAATTCAGAGGACCTCCTCGAAGTCCCAACTAACGGTTTTTGTTCACCTTGCTGGTTTTCTTTCACTTCGGTCGCTTCAAAATTCTCCCGTCTGTTTGATGGAATGTCAGTGGTATTGTGCGCTATTGGAAAGCAGCAAATACCGCAGACCGCCACAAGGATACCAAATGCAAACGCGGGCAAGATGACCACCCAAACTATTGGCGAAAAGTAGGCGTAGTCAAATGATCTTTTCAAAGTTAATGTCACGGTCTTAGTTACCTCCTCTGGCGTCTCACCTGTGGCATTCTTAATTGCAATTCCAATAAACCAGCTTGCGATGGAATCAGTCAATGGTGGAATAGAAACTCTTGACAAGGTAATCCGTCCCTTTTTAGCGAACGAAAGACGAATTGACTCTCCCTTATAGTCCACAATGTCAATGTTCTCATTAACATCCTCACAGTCACGTGATACTTTTAGGTAGGCCGGTACGTCGTCAGATTCGGAAATGACAGTGACGTCAAGCTGCTTATCTGAGATATCCCCTGTTGGGATGAACTGGAAAACTTTGTTCGACTCAGAGGGGCGTAAGTCGAAGGTCTTTGCTTCGTCCAGCTTTATCTCCTGAACAGAACTTTCTACCTGCACTTTAAAAGCAAGGTTCGGTGTTCCTAAAAGTAACAGATGTTTTTCTTGATCTTTGTCATTTTGGTCACGCGGTGGACATATGATGAGAGAACTCCAATCACCATTCGATTTCCATATATCCAAGTTACCTAATAGGCGGGGTTCATCTGCTCCATATACTGATGCATGCAGAAATCCTAATGGAAGGAATATAAATCCTCAATTTCTGTTCATACGACGGTTTAAATCTTAGTTGATTAACAGTCAAATGTGCCAAACCCCTTTTTTCAGTTTCTGTTGGCTTGATGGAGAGTCTCATTGGCGTTTACCGTCAACCGTCTAATGCCCAAAGTATAACCCGTCAATCGTCAAAAACGCAACATTATTACCGTCAACCGTCAAATAAGCAAGCTAATGTTAACCGTCAGATGTCTTAAACGATTGCCTTAATTAGGGTCAAGTTCTGTTGTTTATAAATAAAAGTATTAATAAATCACAAACATACATTTCTGTGAGTCTTTAACTTCTAGTCGCGAGTAAAACTGGTCAGCGACAGAACTGACTTCCACTTGGAAACACCTCCGGTGTCGTGAAACGTTAGTCATTTATTAATAAGAGGTGTTGTGAACGCGTTATTATGAAAAACTACTGCCAAATTCGGGCGTTTAGTTCGTTCATAAACGCCATTCCCAAAAACCAACCGTTAACCGTCAAATGACCTAAAATTTGACCGTCAACCGTCAAAAGGGCTTATTTTTAACAGTCAACCGTCAACATGACCCTCCATTGAGACCCTCTTCACATGAATTATATTTCTTGAAAAGAATCTTATTTTTTCACGGATTTTTCTCATTTTCATTTTATAGCAAACTTAAGTGTTACAATGAACTTAAACTGAGATGAAAATTTATTTTCGGTAAATGGAGCCTAGTCTTGGGAATATTTGGAGTGACCAATAAATCTTCTCCATCAGAGAGAAATATTTTTAATTTTTTTTTCGAACTCTTGTTTCAATCGAAGATTGTCGTCAGGCAAAATTGCCACTAGTAAAGAACTTCTGTTTGTCATTTCACAAAGTAATTTTAGAGACCATTTTGAGATCCTCTTGTTTACTTTTGGTTTTAATTAAGAAATGGACAGCCCGTAAAAACAGTGAAACAGCAATTCCTACGAGATAGAGATAGTCTCGCATGTATGCTGAAATGGTACATTTGAGTGTTTAGGGAAATAAGTAAAGATGCTCTTGGCTTGCTGCATAGCGCGACTAATTGCCTTTTCCACGAAAAAAGCAATTTCAGTCGCTTTATGAATTTTAAACAGGGCAGATAATAAACTCATAATTGAAACTTTTCGATGAAAAAGGGACCTTGAATGATTGCACTGTGGACAACTGTGACAAAATACTTCAGAAGGAACTCATCACAGTGGTAAGGTTTGTAACGTACCTTCCACTAGTCGTTCCTCGCTGTTCAGCCTTAAAATTCAAATTGTTTTTGTCTTTGCGAGAAATTGTTCTGGTATTGCCCATAAGCCATAAGCGAAAACAAAATCAGTCTGATTTATTCCTAATATCTGTCAAGGTAAAGGCAAGTAGACAACGTAAGGTATTTTTCAACAAAAAACTAGGATTTTAGTTGAAATTGGTGACTGATTCGAAAGCTGGTGCACGAAAAGTGCGCATCCAACCCGAACTACCTCGATTGAAGCGAACCTACTTCTTCCATCCAACTTCAACCGCCAGGATCGTTTCCCAGAACTGTAACAATTCAGGATGTAAAAAGGGTCCAAATTGGTATTCAGTTGTTCTATATTTAGTACGTAATGTAGTATTTACTACATTTAGTTTTGCTACTCCATGAGCCGTATCGGTGAATACTCTATCTATACAAGATTTCCTCATTGAAGCCTTTTTGGGATTGGGTGAGCCGGGCCGGATGGGTCATATGATAAACCGATTACCACTCATAACTATGTTTTTATGCTAATTTAGTTTAGTTTTACAGAATTGAGAATACGGTCTATGGGTCGCTAAGTTCGTAGTCCAAACAGTGCGTCGTCGATTGAAGCGTAATGGCTTTTTTACTGAAGTAAACATTTTCTCCTGGGACAGGCATCTGCTGTTTCATTAATTATGGCAAAGAAATGTTTCTGAAATGCCACTTCCACAGTAATCATAAACGTTACGTAGGAAGAGTCAGCCAGCCGTGAAGAGGATTTTCATAAGAGAAGCGTATCGAGAAAACACAGCAATCTGTCTGTGTTTCATGACTCACAGCAAAGCATCTGTCTTGGATCGATGGCTACAGCAAAGAAGGTAGCATGCATCTGAGTGCATGAAATGTCGTCCTCTTGACTTATAACACATTTTTTACAACTTTTACTTGAAACCTAAAATTTTGCTGAAGTTATGCGCTTAGACGAAACCCTCATTTCAATGCATAATGCACATTTTAATAATGCATCATTATGGATTATAATTTTTATAAGAAGCGTAAAGAGAAAACAAAACAATCTGCCTTTGTTCCATGACTCAGCACAAAACATTTGTCTTGGGTCGATAGCTTCAGCAACGAAAGCATGTAGCCATCCGATCACGTGAGATGTCCTCATCGTAGACCCAAAATACATTTTTTGCAACTTTTACTTGAAACTAAAAGTTTTACAAAAGTTATGTGCTAATTAAGACAGACCCTTATTCATCGCCGCGCATAATGTATACTTTAATAATGCATCATTAAAAGCTGATTTTCGTAAGAGAAGCGTATAGAGAAAAGACAACAATCTGTCTGTGTTTCTTGACTTATTAGAACAAAATATCTGTCTTGGATTGATAGCATCAGCAACGACGACATGCATCAATCCAATCATGTGAGATGTCGTCCTCATAAGCCCAAAATTTTTTTACAACTTTTACTTGAAACTAAAAGTTTTGCAGCAGTTATTTGCTAAGACGAAACTCTCATTTCATCGCATAATGTTCATTTTCATTGTGCGTCACAACTCGCGACAACGATGCAAGCCTTGTTTTAAAATTAACTTGCAGTAGGCCTAATTCAAACGAAAACAAAAAACTATTCGTTGCTTAGAACGAAGTAAATTCACCAAATATGAAAGAAGAAAGAAGATACACACGTTTACCAGTCGATTCGTTGTCTTCAAGTTTGGCTTTCACCTGCAAGAAGCGCTTTTCTTGGCTTTGTCCGCTCGTCTTCACGACACATAAATGGCTCAGATATTTGGAAGCTGCAAGTCTGCCTTTAAATGTGGCAGACATTGTAAGGTTACTTGCTAAGTTTTCTGGCTTTCCGAAAGAGCAATCGACAGCGAACTGGTTTGCTTGTGTTACGGAGGGCCCGAAGAAGACAGGGCACTGCAGGAGTACAGCAAACAGAATGGCGGCAACGGCCATGTTGAGAGTTGAGAAAATTGTATGCGTGCCCATTGTTATTGGATTGTAATTGTATATTTCAGTAGGAGTGTCTGATCCAGTCAGGTTTCATTATGCGGGCGCCACGAGTTGTCTGACGTCGGAGGGCGACCCTAAAAGCAGGAACGATGGAATACCGGAATGCCGGAATGACGGAATGATGGAATATGACCCCAAATCCTAAAACCAGGAACGGATGCCAGGACACGTTGCACGAAGTTTGTACAGACATTCAAGCACTTGGTTCATTCATCCCCAAGACGATAACGCACGCGCGCACGTGACTAAAACTAAGTGTTGATTTTTTTTCCTTTACTGAGCGTTATGAATAATTATGAACCATTACACATGAAAGGTAGGTGCGTTGTAAACCTGTTTATTTACCTTTTGTTGTGCTAAATTTTCCACGAGTTTTAGTCTCGGCCTAAGAAGTCGCACGGGTCTCTGTAAAACGAGGACCGGATAGATGCGGATGGCGGATGCGGATAGAAAAATGTGCATGAAACATTGCGGATGGAAAAATGCGGACAGAAAAAAAATCGGTTGGAAAAAAAAAACAACAACAACAACATTAAACATGTCATTACAGTCGAACCCCGCTATATCGAACTCGGTTAAATTCAAATCCCAAGTCCCGCTACTTCGGATAAAAATCGATTTCCGAGGTAATGAAATTAAATTTCATTACCTCGGTTCATTCCATAAGGTCTATCTCTGTCTGAATTAATGAGTTCTAATGGGATGTGTTCTCTGTCTTTAATGGAATGATCTGGAAGGAAAAAGTGGGAAAAGTTTACAACCCGTCCGATCCACGTTTTACAGACACTCTTTATAATCGAACCGGCTTCACTATTTCGAAACCCCAAGGGAAATAGAAAAAAGTTCGACATAGCGGGCTTTCGAATTAACACCGGAGAAGCGTAAAGGGAAGGGTAAATCCTAGGGAAATCGATTTTTGTTCGAAATAGCGGGACTTGCGACTTGAATTTAACCGAGTTCGACATAGCGGGGTTCGACTGTAATGACATGTTTACTGTTGCTGTTGTTTTTTTTTTTCCAACCGATTCTTTTTGCTATTCGTAATTTTCCATCCGCAATTTTTCATCCGCATTTTTCTATCCGCATCCGCCATCCGCATCTATCCGGTCCGCGTTTTACAGAGACCCGCTTCCTTCTGCTAACTTCGTTTTGTCTTTAAAGGTGGCTCGTACCAGTTTTCATCTTTTTGATGGTTTGTAACTTTGAAAGAATACAACAGAAAGACTGACCAAGGCCAGTTGAACACTTTTACGGGGTTGAATTATATAATCATTGGTTATCCAAAAATAGGTGTCATTTCGCCACTAGCAGTTTCCATGGCAACGCTTTCATAGGCTTATTCGGACGCATTTTTAACTTCTGGCTTAAATAATTCGAAAACTAACTCGGTGACCCCGTGATTTTTTTCAGTGATTGCTTTTGGCACTTGAAAAGGAAAATGCACTAAGATTTTTAGAACATTCTACGGAGCGGAATTTCAGAAAAATCTAGAAAAAAGGCAATTTTCACACATCGCAAATTTCTTTCCGTAGAATTTTCTAGTTTTTTTTTTCTGATGATTCCTTTCAACGTTATTATCATATTGGAACTATAAAAAGAAGGGGTCACCGGACTTGTTTTCATTCAGTAGCTTTCGTGAGTTTAGCAATTTCCACGCGCGTTCTCGCGCATTTAAAAATCTGGATTCTATAAGATCGACATTTGCTCATGATCTGTTATAGCTACCGCTGACAATTGCGTGTGCTCTTGCGAGCGCCTACGATCTGATGTTTACAGACGTTTACTGCTAAGAAAATCATTAAACAGTTGTCCGTGGACAGCCTCCCAGGTTCATCTTAAAAATCCTACACACGACTTCTGGCTACATCATATTATTTTCCTTTAAGTTTCAAAGTCTTCTTCCACTTCAGGTAGATTATCCTTCACTTGAGTTCTTCTTTTTTCGCCGTCGCAAGATTTCATATCGGCTGGCTATTTCTTTTAGATGTGAAGTAAAACAATCTTTACTTCTTCGAAAATCGTCTTTTTATCTTAGTTTCTATCTCCTGCATTCACAGTGCCCGGTCAACACATCAAATACACACTCTTAGGTGAACTTCTCACAAAAGTAGAAAAAAAAATCCTCGCGCCGCCATCTTTGTTTTAAATTTTCGTCTTTTAATCTCGCGCTTCTTTCGCACGTTTCTCTCTTGCGTGACGCAAGAGTTATCCGTTCCCCGCGCGAGGAAACTAGTACGAGCCACCTTAACGCCACGAGAAATTCCCACGCGCATGACCCTAGGCAACCTCTCTTAAGCTAGTGTTACTCGAGGTCTAAAATGTATTCGTGGACGAAGAAAAGCTCTTATTAAAGGGCTCGCAACTAGGGCTTACTCTTACGCTAGTGTAAGTTTGGAATTGTGACTGAACGTCGTTATATTTGAGAAGCCTGGAAAGGTTCCCGTGATTTTCTCACGCTCACAAGCATATGTTTCATTAAATCCATGCAGACGTGATCACGAAACGTATGTTCCAATTGTTTAATGCAATGTGGTAGATCAAGTTAGTTTTCACATGCTGTGCGACTACTTATGCCGCGACTAAAACTCGTGGCATTAGCACAACAAAAGATAAATAAACAGGTTTACAACGCACCTACCTTTCATGTATAATGGTTCATAATTATTCATAACACTCAGTGAAGGAAAAAAAATTAACACTTAGTTTTAGTCAAGTTCGTTATCGTCTTGGGGATGAATGAGCCATGTGCTTGAATGTCTTTGTACAAACTTCGTCCAACATGTCCTGGCATCCGTTCCGGGTTTTTGGATTTGGGGTTATATTCCATCATTCCGGCATTTCGGCATTCCGTCGATCCATCGTTCCGGCTTTTAGGGTCGCCCGTCGTCGCTTGCTCGGGGAAATTAGGACAGTGTTGCGCGAGGCCAGAGATGAGATTTATGACTATGAACTTACCTTTTTCATATCTTCTAATTCATGAGAAGTATTTCCTTTCAGAGCTAAGCCATCGAGGAGCGCAATCTTCACTTGACATGACGCTCCTCGATGGAATAAATGTGACACCTGTCATCGCAAAGTGCTTTGAGAAAGCTGTCTTAGGAACACACGCAAGGGAGACCTTCGATGAACATTCTGGGATCTCACAGTTTGCATACATAGAGGGAGGGAGCTGTACCAATGCTCTACTGACTATCCAACATACTGTCAATCAATATCTTGATATCCCAGAGTGCAAAGCGGTACGCCTATTCGCTATGGATTTCAGCAAGGCTTTTGATAGTGTGAAACACGATCTCCTCTCACACAAATTGAAGCAACTCCCCCTAAATCCTTTTATAGTTAACTGGTATCTAAGCTTTTTGGAAGACAGGCAGCAGAGAGTCATTAGAAATGGGTTTATTGGAAAATGGAAAAGTGTCAACAAAGGTACCACCCAAGGAAGTGTCAGCGGGCCGCACTTGTTCAATGTCTTTCTCAGTGATTTAGAGATACACTTGGACAATAAGAGCGTGCTGGTAAAATATGCAGATGATACAACCATTATCTCGCCTGTGATAGGTGATAATGACAATTCTATCGCACTGATTAATCAGTTTTCCCAGTGGTCTAGAAGTAATAGAGGGTCTAATAGAGGGCTGTCCGTATTTGGCGCTGTAAATTCCGAATTAACAACAATCCAATGTTTCTTAGATCGATGTTATAAGCGCAAGTATACATCCGACCACATTAATGTTTATGAATTGTTAGTTCAACAGGACACACGTATCTTCAAGAATGTTTTTAATAATACAATACACCCTTTAAGAGCTATAATGCCAAAAAAGAAATCAACCAAGTACAATCTGAGGAAAGAGACAAGTCACCATCCTAAAATAAACACTGATAGGTTTAAAAACACGTTTGTCAATCGCTTAATTTTTAAACATAATCTAGTCTTATAATTTTTATCTTGATTTTCTCTGTAATTTATATATATAGCTTCTTTTAATGTTGTAACATAGGATATGTGATTATTTATCTTATGACTTAATAAAGATTCAATTCAATTCAATTCCTCGGGGATTGGGCTGGGGTGGAGTGGGGATTTATCAGACACCTCATTATAAAATAGAATCGAAAAGAGATACTGAATCTTGATGATCAAAAATTATCATTATAATTATCTTTATCATTATTATTAGAAGAAGAGGTTATACGCGAACAGGATTTTAGAAGTTGAACGAGGGACTTTCACACCTTAAGTCTTCACTACTACCGGAGGCAGGCGGACGAATGCAAGCGTTTCCACAGTAGATTAGCGGAACTCAGATCTATCAAGAAAGGAGAAGAGTACAGCACAACAATTTCATGGATAAGTTCAAAAGTGTCCTTCGCTCTACTAAAGTCTGCCTTACTTTGCACCACTAGACGTGTCCCTCATTGTGACTTTGAGATCGAAAAAGAACAAGCAGGATTTAAAGAATAGTTTTTGTCTATTTTTTAATATACAAGAAGGATGGTGTTTTTTTTCTTACTTTCAAAGAAGATTTTCCATGATATTTCTCTTGAGTTGGGTTGAACTCGGAAATAGTTGAGGATAGGATTAGGAAGTAACAGATTGTAATCACCAGAATGAAATAATTATGTAGAATTGTTACCATCATTATTCAACGAATCGTGTATTTCACCAGCTTTTCTTGCTTTTTATCAGATGTTCTGATGCAATCTTTCGATTTTTAAGCATTTTATCATAATCTTTGTAAATATTTTTAGCTTATAGCGAATTATTATTATTATTATTATTATTATTATTATCATTGTTATGCCAGTAGAGTATTGGAAATAGAGCAAGGATCCTTTACGCCCCTGATCTTTAGTACCACCGGAGGGATGGGCGCTGAATGCAAAATTTACCATAAACGCTTAGTTGAACTCATATCCATTAAGAAATGTGAAACATACTCTACAACTATGTCCTGGATTAGAGCCAAAATCTCCTTTGCGCTCTTACGATGCGCCCTCTTATGCTTAAGAGGTATAAGAAAGAAGAGAAGAACATTTGAGACATTCGATACAGGTTTTTTAATATACAATGCTATGGCAAATATAGGCTAGACATTTCTAAAATTTGTGTTTACAATTTTTTAGAGTAAGAGTGTCATTTCCCTTCTCATATATTATTTTAATGTAATTTACTTTTATAAGGATAATTTCGATGCACGTTTTTTTAAATTCTTTCAATTATTATTATTATTATTATTATCTGGTTCAAATGTAATTCTACAGATAAGTGTCTCGAACCGACAGTTCTTCATCATTTCTCGTCACTACAACGTCATTCCCCTTAGAAATCTTTTCGGTTTTTTTTCGATGCCATTATTATTGTTGTTATGCCTCACCTATTCAGGTGACATCTTCTCTTGTCGAACATATCATGGCTCAAACTCATCAACTACCCGACGAGTGCCTCATCGCGTCAGGGCGTCAGGCTGTCAAACATGGAAAAGCTGAGGAACTTTCAGAGATTGCAGATAATCTAAAACAAATTGTTTCACGGAAGACCAAGCGAGCTCTAGAACTAGCGCAAGAAAAAGGCTCCTCTGTATGGCTCACAGTTCTTCCCCTTCAAGAACATGTGTGACGATTGCGACAAACGAGATCGAAGTCGAAGGGTGTCACTAAAGCGTGTTAATGCTACGGGACTATCTTAAAGGTCGTGTGCTTCAAGTACCAATCACCACGGAAAACCAAGGTTGACGGTTAACGGTGATTTAATGATGATGAACGATTAGCGAACCACGATAGACAATCACGATCACGATCGTAAACTGAAATAACAATGCAATTTACTTAAAACGTTGCGTAACTCAAGAACAAAACGCTTAGAGCAATTAACCTGCCTCCGTCGATAACGCGATCAAAATTAACAACAATCAACAGGAATACTCGAAAATCATAATAAGCTACATCAAAATAACTCGAGACTTAAATCGATTGTAAGATTAACAAAGTGGGCGTTCCTAGCTTAGCGTCTCATTCTTTGATTCGCCCCCTTTAGATTGAAAACAATAAATTGTACTATTGTACGACTCTGTACGTTAGCGTGCTTCCACCCAAAACAAGAAAACTAATCAAAGGAGGAAACTAGCAAAATTACTAGCTTGTGCCAAAGGTTAAGAACCAAAAACGGCGAGTCGAACAGATAGAATGGACAAGGCGAAATACAATCATACACTGGCTAAAGGGACGCTAAACGAGGCTTTTATACGCGCGTGGGGACGCTAAAATATCTGATTACAAACCAATCGAGAATAGACAACAACGTAACCACATCCGTAACTAAAGTAATTCGTAACAAACAAATCAAATTCCACTTAGGCTGAATGAATCGTTTGAGTATCCTTAACATNGAACTTTCAGAGATTGCAGATAATCTAAAACAAATTGTTTCACGGAAGACCAAGCGAGCTCTAGAACTAGCGCAAGAAAAAGGCTCCTCTGTATGGCTCACAGTTCTTCCCCTTCAAGAACATGTGTGACGATTGCGACAAACGAGATCGAAGTCGAAGGGTGTCACTAAAGCGTGTTAATGCTACGGGACTATCTTAAAGGTCGTGTGCTTCAAGTACCAATCACCACGGAAAACCAAGGTTGACGGTTAACGGTGATTTAATGATGATGAACGATTAGCGAACCACGATAGACAATCACGATCACGATCGTAAACTGAAATAACAATGCAATTTACTTAAAACGTTGCGTAACTCAAGAACAAAACGCTTAGAGCAATTAACCTGCCTCCGTCGATAACGCGATCAAAATTAACAACAATCAACAGGAATACTCGAAAATCATAATAAGCTACATCAAAATAACTCGAGACTTAAATCGATTGTAAGATTAACAAAGTGGGCGTTCCTAGCTTAGCGTCTCATTCTTTGATTCGCCCCCTTTAGATTGAAAACAATAAATTGTACTATTGTACGACTCTGTACGTTAGCGTGCTTCTACCCAAAACAAGAAAACTAATCAAAGGAGGACACTAGCAAAATTACTCACATATCGGTCCCGCTTGTGCCAAAGGTTAAGAACCAAAAACGGCAAGTCGAACAGATAGAATGGACAAGGCGAAATACAATTATACACTGGCTAAAGGGACGCTAAACGAGGCTTTTATACGCGCGTGGGGACGCTAAAATATCTGATTAAAAACCAATCGAGAATAGACAACAACGTAACCACTTCCGTAACAAAAGTAATTGGTAACAAACAAATCAAATTCCACTTAGACTGAATGAATCGTTTGAGTATCCTTAACAACATGGTTTCATCCTCAGCAAGAGAGAGTTTTGCGATGCTGTTCAATTTCGCTATGATTGGCCATTCGATGACATTCCATCAGTTTATGTGTGTGGGGAAAACTTCACAGTAGACCACGCAATGATTTGCAAACGAGGGGGCTTTGTTATCCAACGGCATAATGAGTTGAGAGACCTCGAAGCCGACCTTTTGAGTATAGTGTGTAACGATGTCGAGGTCGAGCCAGTTCTCCAAGACATCACTGAAGAACAACTCAGCAGAGGGTCTAATAGAGCACAAGACGTAAGACTGGATGTTCGGGCGCGTGGCTTCTGGTATCCCCAGAGCTCGGCATTCTTGGATGTGAGGGTTTGCCACCCTAATGCCGAGTCTTACAAGGACCGAGAACCGCAGCAGATTTATCGCATCCATGGAAACGACAAGAAGCGGCTGTACTCAAGGAGAGTGTTGGATGTTGAGCATGGTTCGTTTACGCCGCTTGTATTTACAACTACGGGAGGGGTGGGGATGGGATGCATAAGATACCACAGCCGATTGGCCAAGCTGATAGCCGCCAAGAAAGGAGAACGATACTCGCAAACAATTTCCTGGATCCGAGCAAAGACATCCTTTGCCCTCCTTCGGTCGGCCTTAGTTTGCCTTTGAGGATCGCGGGTAAAGCGCCGCGCTGCGTACGACTGTAATAATTGTGACGTTGAAATCGCAGCTGCCGAGGGAGCCATTGACATTGTTTAATGCTTTTTAGCAGCCTTGTATATAGGGTTCTAGATTTGCTATTCACCTTTCTCTTTTCTGTATAGTTTTAGACAAACTTTTACTAATCGCATTATTAGACTTTGAATCTGTTCAGATTTGACTCTGTTATTTATAGTTTTCTACACACTTTGACATTAAAAAAATATGCAGTAGATGTGAGCCGAAAGTGAGTTATTTTGGATCGTTTTTTACGCTGTTAATATTTGTATTGTAGAAGATTTTATGGAAATTATTGGTAAATAAAATGACGATGATGATGATGATGATTATTATTATTATTACTATTATTATTATTATTAT